GGCGGCGGGGCCCCGCTGCAGCAGGCGGTAAGTGCCCGCCGGTCCCGAACGGGACCCCCGACCCTCCCGGCCGTGGCTCCGGGCCCCCAGCGCAGCCCAGCCCGGGTGTCCCCGCCGCCCTGGGCAGCCCCGCCGCAGCCGGCGCCACCCGTGGCTTCCTCCGAACATCAGCGGCGTTAAATTCTTTTGATCTTCGCTGCGAGCCAGGCTCGATCTCTCTTTGCGTCTTCTCTTTGCTGCTCTCTTTGCGTTTTCAGTCTCCGGTGCAAGGGAAACACGGTCCCGAGAGGGGCCATCCCGTCTTTCGGTCTCCCGGTGCTACTGGAAGTTTCTTTTCCTGACTTGTAGAAATAGGTCGACTTTTTAAAGTTCGGCTCTTGCTTTTTCCTGGGTCGGGCTTGTAAACAGAAGGTTTAAAATGTGAACATAAAGCTGCTCTTTAATGTTTGCCAATCCTATGCAACTGCAGTCTGGTTCTTCCTAAAGGCACATTTCAGTTTCTTTAACAAATAATGGATTTGCTTCCGAGGGAGTTGAGATTTATCTTTTGGGCTTTTTTTCCAGTCCAAGAATAACAGCAGCATATATATCAGCAGCATATATCACCGACATCTTTCATCTTAGCTTGGCTTTGGAAGCTGTTTTTTGTTAGATATAAACACTGCTCTCCACAGATACACAAAACTTGTCAGAATAAAGTAATACATTTAAAAAGTGAAAGAAGTATTTAGGACGCAGGAACATTCTGCATTGAATGCCTCAGTTTTGCTCTATTTAGAAGGGTATAATTTCCATCACTGAACTGTACATCCGTGGGTTAAGGATTACTTTAATACAAACTAACTTTTCCATTAGGAAACTTGGCAGCGTTCTGTAAGAGAACCCTTTATTTAGACAGGTTTTGAAGAAAATCCTCAAAGGTTTGGAAATTGAAGGAAAAAAACAGAGATCTTGTACTGACATATTTTTTTCCTTGCTCTTTAAACTCCAAACCCTCCTGCAGAATGACTGGAGCTTACTCCAGCACTACTTTCTCCTCCGAGGGCCTGTCATTTAGGAGTAGTCCTCCTGACTTCTCCCATTTATCTTTACTTACGGGAATAGAGGCTGCTGATATTCATTTTCCTTCTTTTTCCACATGTGAATATCATGGCTGTATCTTTAATAATTCTAATGAGCAGTGGGTTTTCCTGTGCATAAATCAGTATCTTAGCCCTATTCTGAAGTGATGTATATTCTGGGTGATAACATACCAGAAAGGCAATGGAGTTGCCCTCATCTTTCTTTTCTAATGCCAGTAGAGACATTTCACTGCGACAGTAGATACCAGTGAACTAATGACAAGGAGCAAACTATAGAGGCTGAGGAATTTAAGATGTGGCCCTTGGGGTAGTGTGCGGGTCACTGTGCCCCACTCCCTGCTTCAGACTTCCCTCTCTGGCAGAAATGGTGGTGAGGAACCTGTAGCATCACCTCGGCCACCCCAGGCTGTGGTGCAGACCCAGGCTGGGAATGCTGTCAAGCTTTGCAGCACAGACATGTCCATGAGGGTCCTCAGAACTCAGCCAGGAACAGGCACGTGGAGCCTTGATCATCCAGTGAGACCAAGTTGTGTGCAGCACACAGCAGTGCCACCAGTGAGGCAGCAGTGATGCTGAGCATCTTGTGTGTCTCCTCATCCAGCTGTTGCTGCTGCCTCATTTTTGGGAGAAAGTTCACAGCTCTGGTTGCACCCAGACAAAGACAGCAAACAGCTACCAGTAGTTTTCAAAGATACAAAAGGCATCCAAGAGAAGTCTCAGGTAGCTTCAGGGCAAACTTGAAGCTTTTCTTGGTAGCACTTTATTTTCCTAAACCTGAGATGGCAGAGACAGCAGTCATGGGCTTACTATTCTGACTCCTTGAGGCCTAAAAAGTCACTAGCCTGTGAAAAGGAGGGAGGAAACTGTTGGCAGCACCAGGCTTTGGTTGTTTACTGGGTGCAGTTTAGTCTTCTAGGTTGTTGTGCAAACTGCAGTCTCACCCTTCCCAGGAGGCTGGGGGAGGAGGTTTCTGGAAAGGGATATCAGATTCATTGCATCGCTGGTAATTTTAGGGCAATTTCTCTCAGTCTTGCCACCTTCTCAAGTCATTTGTAGTTTCTGTCTTGTGGTAGGAACTTGCTTGCTTTGCCCTGTTCAGTCGTCCAAATTGGAGGATAAGCAAAGACATTTCAGAGAAGAAAGGATGAGTTAATTCAGCAGAGTTAATGGGGGAAAGGTGAGGCAGGAAGAGGAAAGGCAACAAGGAGGTATCACAGTAAGGAAGTCTGATGAGAAATAGCCCCTGGAGGAGCAGATTCTGGACATTGGGAATAGAAGAGACCTTTGATACCAGTCAGAAGGGAGCAGAATTGCAAACAGGACTCATCGTTCTGCTGTCACAGCTGGGTTTCTCCTGGGCATGATGTGCATCAGTGTTGTGTTTCACAGCTGAACCCTGGCACAATTTGCCATCCAGCAGCAAGCTGGCAGCACTGATGGGCAGTCAGGCCACCAAGGGCTGGTGGAGCATGCAGCTGCCTTTAAAGACCTGAGCAACCTTTATTATATTCAAATAGTGCTTGGGAGCAAAAAGGATGAAAGCATATCACAGCAGCAGGCTGGGAACCAAATCCTGATTGGAAACCTGCACATGCCTCAGAGCAGACCCCAACACCTCCTGTCAGCATCAAACATCCATTTTCAGCTTTGCTCTCAATTCCAGATGGTTGTATGTGCTATTCCTTGTTTCTTTGCTCAAGACAGAAAAATGTAGTTGAGGTTTTGCAAGTGCTGCTGCAGCACAGAGCAGGGGTGGCAGCTCTTGATGGAAGCCAGGGCAGAGGCCGTGGCCTCAGGCATTTCCCCACTGGTTTCCTGAAATGGAGGAATAATACAGACATGTTAGGGTTTCAGTTTTAACAACTTTTTCCATGGCACCATCTCTCCTCCTGACTGGAGACAGGATGTGATTCCATGAAGGAAATCACCTCAGCTGCAGCACAGGAGCAACACAGATAGAGGGTGTATTCACCAAGTTCTAGAGGGACTATCAGATAATTTTAAAACACCCAAGTGTACAAAGCTTTGCCTGAGTTTTTCAGCCAGATGTTTTTTCTGCAGACTGATGTGGCACAGCGTCACCTCGTGGCTGGCTGATCCCCAGCTGCAAACACAAAAGGGTCCTGAAGGGACATGAAATGCCATTCCCCATTAGCGTCTTACAGGAACTCAGATTTATTTTTCTACTCTTGTTAAAATGTGCTTCCCTCAAACAGAAATTTGATCTTTCTGATTCCACGTTGTTAGCAGTTTATTTCAACATTTTCTTCCTGGTTGTCTTAATAGTCAAAAATGCTCTTGAATCAAGACATTGTGCTACACTTTCACAGGGAGCATGGGGCCTTTAGAAAATGTCATCTCCAGCTGAATATCTGGGACTCCCTGAACTTCCCAAAGTCAGATTATTTCAGATTCTGCAGTCAATGTCCAGTTGTAGATCTGGCGGCTGCTGAGTTAAAAGGTCTCCCTCTCTACCCATTATATTTCTTGTCTTGTTCAGAGCACCTGAAACTTCACCAGAGCCCAGAAGCAGTGAGCTGTGCTGTCCCCTCAGCCAGCATCACCCTCCCAGCACAGCTGTATTGCACCTGGACCTGGAAAACTGCTGACTAGGTATTTTCCACAACTCCCCCCTTTCACTTGGCAGAGCCTGGGTGGCTTTTGCCCTGGAAACTATTTGTGATCTAAAAAGTACGCTCAGGGCATGTGCAGAATAGCTGGGAGCTGCTGTTTTAGTTGGCAGGAGAGGAGAAGCGTGGGAACTCCTTGCATCCCTGCCCACTTCCCGTCCACCGCCTGCTCCTAATTCCTTCGCTGGCCAGAGGATGTTGCTGCAGACCAAAGCAAAGCTGGAAGTGCTTTGCCTGAGTGCTTTGCCTGGGGTGCAGCTGGGGCCTTGCGTCACGTTTGGTACGTACTGGCACCCTAGGGAAGCCGCTTGTTTTAGCCAGCAATAGCTGGCAGTGGGTTGGAGAGGCTGACTCCAGCAGTGCTGCCTGTCTCAGCCCCAGTCCTGTGCTGGCGTTGCTGGGCTGCTGCCCTGCTGCGGTACCAGCTCAGCCCTCCGTGCTCCCTGCAGACTGCGCCTGCAGGGCTCTCCAGCTGATACCCTCCCTCCCTGCCACGGCAGCGGGCTGGCATTTCAGCTCAGACTGATCCACTGGTCCAGTTCATGGAGTGTTTGTGAAGAGCGACTTGGGAGGAGCGGAGGCAGGGAAAGAGGCACTGGCATACATTTTTCAGAAATGCTGCACTGTTAAACCACACCCCATGGACCAGCACTGGCAGAGACTACACTGCTCCTGTGTAGATACTTAACGTGGCTCAGTCACTCCTTGGATGTGAGTTGCACCTGAACTTCACGCAGAGTCTGTATTTCTACTGCATCCCAGGGCTGTATCCATACTGGTAAACTGTACCATAGCAGCTGCCTGGCACTGGACCATGATGGTCTGCCCCACTGAGCTGGCATGATTTTTGGTTAGGACCAGCTTGTAGTCTCTCAAATAATGTCTGGGTATTGCTTAGGGACCAGCACAGGAACCATCTCAAAGAGAGCTTGAATTTGGCCTCTCAGTTTTGGAGATGATGTTAGTCATCAAGACTGCAGCTGGCTGGTTTCAGTGCAGCTTGGGATCAGCTCTAGAGCCTCCAAAGGTACACAGCTCCAGATCACCCTGGGGAAGGTTCCAGGAAAGGGTGTTCTCACCCAGCTTATTCATAGCTGCTGGAGCTGACAGAGAAAGTAGGGGGTTAAGGACTCACGGGGCCATGAGGAACTTGCACTGGACTCGGGGGAGTGGGAAGCTGCACCCCAGGAGTGCTGGTTTATGCATGCAGCAGAGAAAAATAGCTCTTGCTTCCAGCTCTCAGCTCTGCCTTGCTCCCAGGAGCTGCTGCCCTAAAGGATGGCTGAACTGTGTGAGCAATGACTGTCAAACCCTTTCACCCCACGTGTCATGACATTAAATTAAAAGTGGGTACGTGCTGGGTGAGCTTAATATCCAAGCCTTTAAACTTGGAGGAGGGGGTGATGTGGGGCTTTGTGGCACAGCAGACGTCAGCACAAGATGCCTGTGCTGAGAATGGGGTGGAAAACGGGGAGACACGCCACGGTCTAGATGAGTAATAAAAAGATGACTGCAAGCTGCAGAAAGGAGAAGCTGACTTCATTTAGCTCTTACCAGGACACAGGCCAACCAGGCCAGCAATTACTTCTTTAGCTGTAGGATAGGAACCCATAATATTAAAGTGTCCTGACATGCACATCATCCTAACCCACATAAAGGGCTAATACTAATTATCTGCTGAACTTGCAAGATACCCATTACAGCAATCCCCAGGCGGCTGGGTGGGGTCAGTTTTTATTGTGTCTCTCAGCCCACGGCAGCGGTGCTCCGCGCCCTGCCTGCTGCCCGGCACACGGTGTCACCCGGGCACCGCCAGCCAGGTGTCTCCTTTGCCCGCAGGAATTGGGAGCAGCTCCCAAAACATGGAGACTCTCGAAGGCAGAGGCTGGAGGTGCCTTTTGTTTTCACTTGCCACCATTTTTGATTCATGCACTGGATGAAATGTTGGTAGAAACGTACGTGTGCCAGTTCCAAATTCTCTTGGGAAATAAGTATTGCTGCTGACAGATCCCTTGGAAAAGGTGGGAACAGGTTTTGCACAGAGAAGCAGATTTTGCTAACCAGAGCTGTACTATCCTGATGACGAATTAATTCTGTCTTCCACCCACACAACACGTACAGCTCGTAATATGGAGGAGTCAGCCACAAGGGAAGAAAAAACAGACAACCTACCGTACAATCCAAACCCCTCCCTAGAATGATCCAAACCCATCCTTTGCACAGAAGTATTGGAAGCTGGATTCGCACTGTGGGAAAAACATCATCAAAGCACTCCTAAAGAACTCTATTTTCCTTGGTGCTGAGCATGAATAATGTTCTTCACCTGGTGGAAGGAAACTCGGGCTGTAACAGTAGTCCAGAGGATGATGGATGAGGAGCTGCATCATGGGATGCAGTCCCAGGAGAAGTCAGCCATTGGAGCTCGGCACGCTGTTCTCCTGGCACTGCTTCTTGCTCTTGTTACATGTGGGAGAGTGCCAAGAAACAATCGTAAATAACCAGGAGAGAACTGTCTTACCTCACTGTCAGCTTTCTCACATACTCTTGTCTCCACTTGGACCCAGAATCTCTAGAGTAGTTCAGCCTCTTCCAGAGAAAACAAAGTGTTGCCAAAGAGCAGGGACTCTTCTGAAAGGTACTCTTTTTGACAGGTATTACACTAAAAGTCTATGAAAGACTGGCAACATCTTTTGTCATTTTTTGACAAAAGCAGCTAGGATGTTAAATACTGTGTATAACAGATCACTTTCCTGGCTCCTGAAACAGAAGCTACTAAGGGATCACCTGGAAGAGATGTTCACCCAGAGCCATGAGAGAGGTGTCCTTGGTGGAGCTCTCCTCACCTGCTGAAGCATGGGAGCCAAAGGTGACCACAGCAGCACAAAGCCCTTGCAAGAGGCAGGGAAGAGCTGAGCAGTTCGGTTCCAGACATCTCTCCGTTTCCCTCACAGTGTCTGAGACCACAGTGTTTAAACCTCAGCTCCTGTCCGTTCCCCATGAGAAGCAGCTGAGGAAGGAGTGTAGTGAAAAAATGTCCTTGCAAATTAAAATCAGGTGTCATGCAATACCTGCAGACACCCAGGTGGACATTTCTACCCAGTGGATGGCACACGCAAGCCTGACCAATACCAACGGATTTTAATTGGCACAAAACTGTGTGAAGCCATCACTGTTGTACCAGCAGGGCCTGTGGTGGGGCATTGCCCCTCCATAGCTCCCACACTTTCCAGCAGCAGTCCCGGCATGACGTTGAGGCAGCACAGGTCGGAGCTATTCTAAGAGCATATGCATGATCTTACTAGGAATCGCTTGATCCCATCCAGCCCTGCAGAAACACAGCAGAGGAACAGGCAATAGCTCTGCATTCCAAGCTTTTCCACACTTCTCCCTGGTTCCTTTGCCTCTTCTTGGCGGTTAGGTTTCTTTCCTTTTGTTCCTTTTTACTTAGGGATTTTTTTTTTCCATAAGTTGCTAGGAAATACTAACAACTGGGTACTTGAGAAAAAAGGTGGCCAAGCTCAGGGGAGGAGGGCATTTGGCTGCACTTCTCTTACCTGGGAGTTTCTCTCTGAGGGGCAGAGATTCTGTGACAATCGGGCAGGTAAAGGACAGGGCTGGGGCAGGTGCTGGCCCTCTCTTGGCTTCGGAGGACGGTCGGAGCTGCTGCTTGGGGAAGGGAATTCGCTGCTGCTGCCGAAGCCAGCCCAGAGCTGCCTCTTCTGCCGTGGGGTGAGCCTCTGCTCGTGAGAGCAGCCACTGAACTGGGACCTTATTATCACCCACCTCACTGAAAGAGGGAGCAGCACCGTCTGCTCGGGTGCCCGGGATCCTCAGCTCGCCTCTCCCTGCCCTGCTGGGAGCCAGGCTGCCACTGCCCTGCCCCGCTGTCTCTTTGGCACTGCACTGAGCTTTCGCTGCACTGTAGCCCCGCACCCCCTGCCTGCTGAGACATCCAGCTTGCTGCTTCCCAGAGTCCTGCCGGGGCACCGGGACCGGCTGCCCCAGGGTTTGTGGAGCAAAGCCTCTCCTCCATCCCTTCCCGTGTGGGCCCAGCCGCCACTGCCGGGTGCTCCCCGCGCACAGCGCCCCCTGCAGGCGCGGGAGTCACCGCCCCTGCCCCGCCGCCGGAGCAGCAGCGCCCCTGCCGGCCGCGCCCGGAACTGCACCCAGGGGAGGCGCCGCGGCCGAGGCGGCTGGGCCTGGCTGTGGGTTCTCTTTGGTGTTAGTGCCAGGGTTTGTTTATTTGCTTTATCATACCTGCTAGGAAAGAACTGCTGTTCTTATCCTCATATCTTTGCCTGAGAGCCCCTTAATTTCAAAATTATAGTAATTCAGAGAGAAGGGGTTTACATTTTCCATTTCCATTCCTGCCATCCTTAGCAGATACCTGTCTTTCAAACCAAGACACTTTCCTTTTTTCTTGTACAGAAAATATTTTCCTCTTTTCCACACTGATGGAACAGCTTTTCATTTCTGTTTTCTGGAAGGCCCTGGTTTGGTGCTACGTGTTTAACTTGTTAGTGTTGTGGGATTCAGGGTAGCTTGTAGGAGGGAGGCCCACCAGCTTCAGGACTGCACCTCAGAAACAATATTGCCAAGCCAAGATGCAAAACCATGTCCCTGTCCCACTCCCTTTCCCTGCGAGAATACAGTGAAAAGGTAAAAAAGATGATAGATATGTTATTCTCAGTAGTGCCTGGTTACAGAGGGTTCATTCTATTACTGGCCCGGCAGGGGACAAACAGTCCCATCCCTGCGCCCATTTTAAATACCTTTAGGTTTGGCTTTGGTTGCTCCCCAGGTATCCCATTAAAAGCCTGGGAATTCCAGCATAGGGAAGATGGATGCTTCAGCCCAGATTGATAATTTTTCCAGGAAATATCTTTGTCTGGTGAAAATTGGATTGATGTTACTGTGACTTCCTCCCTTAGCAGGTATTTTCATACTGTTACCTGCAGCTGGTGGCACAGTGGGCATTCATGGAAAACTGAGAGGTTTAACAGGTCAGCATTCAGGGATTTTGGTTCTGTAGCCAGCAGCCCCCCAGCTGTCCTGAGTGCTGAAACAGAACCAGCAGAACAGGGCTAGGAAAGGAGAGTCTCTTGTACCTGTATTGTCTCCATAGAGCTTGTTTGGGGGTTTAAACCAAACCAGGGGGTTGAAACCAGGACATGTTCCTTACTGTAGACAGAGATAGGTTTCATAGAAAGAAATAATGGTTTGGCTTGAAAGGGAGCTTAGAAGATTAGCTAGTTTCAACCCCCCCCATCATGGGCAAGGACATCTTCAACTAGACCAGATTGCTCAAAGCTCCATCCAGCCTGGCCTTGCACACTGCCGGGGATGGGGCAGCCACAGCTTTTATGGGCAACCACTTCCAGTGCCTCACAACTCTCACAGGAAAAATTTCTTCCTAAGATCTAATCTAAATCTGCCCTTTCAGTTTAAAACCATTGTGCCTTGTCCTGTCACTACAGGTTTTGTAAGCAGCCCCTCTCCGTGTTTCTCATAGAGCTCCTTTAAGTACTGAAAGGTTGCAATAAGGTTTCCCCAGAGCCTCCTCTCCTGCAGGCTGACCAACCCCAACTACCTCAGCCTGTCCTCACAGGAAAGGTGCTCCATGTCTCTGGTCATTTTCATGGCCCCCCTCTGGACTCCTTCCAACAGGTCCATGTCCTTCCTGTGCTGAGAACACCAGACCTGGATGCAGCAGTGCAGGTGGGGTCTCACACGAGCAGAGTAGAGGTGGAGAATCACCTTCCTTGACTTCAAAGTGTTTTAACTGTCTTGTCTTCTATCCTAGGCTTTGTCAACCAGGAACCCACCAGGCCCAGAGAACAACAACATTGACCAGCAGTGAGTATTCCCTGCTTTCATGGTATCTTCAGGGGGGAAAAGCAAGCGGAAACAAGGGACCTTTATGCTATTACTGCATTCCTCACTATGCAAAAGGGCTGGGAATGGTGTGAAATGGTTTATAGACCTAAATATTCTGCCCTTTTACTTATTTGCAAATTAAAAAAAATCAGGTGCTGCTTGAAAAGACTCAGGCTCCAGCTCAAGTATAGTATAGAGGTTGTGAGCAATCAGAATTTGGGATGTCCATGTGTCAGAGAGGCACCTGGGAGTAGTTAGTGCAAAGCTGTGGAGAATTGCTCCAACTAAGAGCTCAGGCCCTGATTCACCTGTGGGCTCTGTGAAACAGGAGAATAACATCTCTTTGCTCCCCAAGAATCTTGAGAGAAAGCCCATCAGGTGCTCCAGTGCTACACCAGTTAGAGACATGAGTCTCTAACTTCCCCCTCGGGGATGGGGGAATGGTGGGGACCTGCTGCTTTGGGTGCCAAACAAAACAAATCTGAAATTTTCCATAAGCAAAAGCAGCCCAGCAGAGTGAGCCTCCGAGTCTGCCTGCACCAGGAATGGGGACACATACTAAAAAAGCCAGGTGAAATGCACAGGCTTGAAAACCATCTTAAAATATCACCTCCTTACGTTAAAGAGCCACTCTCTTCAGCATTAAGCTCTGACTGTCATCCAGCCCCTGTGCTCCTGCAGCAGTCAGGAGCAGACTCATCTGCGCATCCTGGTCATGGGCTCTGTGAGCTGCTAACGCCCAGCAGTGCTGCTGGATGTGCCAGCAGAGCCCTGCTGCTCTCTGCCCTCCCACTGCTGCTCTCCCCACCTGGCAAGGCGTGTACAGGTTCTCTCGCAGGGACCTGAACCTCTCCTGTGCTTCCAGCATCCTCAGAGGGCTTTGGGCTGTGATGGCAACTGAGCAGTCTCCTCCTGGGGTGCACAGCCAGCCCTGCCAGGCCCCTATGCAGCTCCCTGGCCCCAGGGTCCCATTGGCCCCTCACACCCTGCCAAGCTTTCCTGCTCCCACCCTCTTTGACATGCAAGGGGAAGGTTTGAGACAGCAGAACATGTTTTCTGATCTGGGATGACAGAGCAGGAGATTATTTTCATTTCAATAACATTTACTTTATACCTGCTGCAGAGTCCCATAGCGCAGCTCATGTGTGAAGTGCCTGTACTGCCTGAGATAAGCAGAATTGCAATTTCTGCTGGCAAGAACAATGCAAACATTTTTTTGGAAATGGCCCAGCACCCAACAAATTTTTGAAGACATCAAGTCAAATAAAATCAAATCAAGCCATGGAAACAGAGGTTAATGTGCATGCGTAGGTGTCTCATCCTTCACATTTCTGTGGCTGGAATCATTCTAGGTGAACACTTTACAAACAGCAGAAGTCAGCCTTGTCTTGATAGAGTTGCTGACTGAAGAAATTCCCATAAAGCCAATTAAAGGAGAAGCAAATGTCAAGGAAGGAGAAGAAGAACTAGATACGCAGTCACGCGAGGTAGAGGTGGGCGTGCACTCCTGTCCTAGAGCATGCCTGTGTGGCACACATGAGCATCTGAACCAGCCCCTGGTAAATACTTTGGATGTGCTCCTGGTTGGGCTGTTACCTCTCATCCTCCCTCCCCCAAAATCTTTTGGGCACTGCTCTCCAGCGTCTGGTAGTTCATGGGTGGATGACACAGCCCAGGCACACGGGAATGATTTTATAATTGCTGCCAAGGCTCGTGTCACTGGCAGAGTTACCAGGGCGTTGTTCTGACCCATTTTTCAGCTGCTAGGTCTTGCAGAAGGCATTTTAATGATTAACCCTGGACTTGTCCATCCTCAGCAAAATGATAAAAAACACTGGCCTAGATTCACCCCAACCTAGTTTTCAGCCACTCAGCTCAGGTTTGTGCCTGGGAGCTTGTCACCCCAGTCACCCATCAGGGCCATTGTCACAGAGCCTGCAGGCAGCTCTCCCCCACACCAGGCACCTGCCTGACACCAGGGATACAGCACTGACAGCCATTCCCATAGCTGGGATCTTGCTCAAAGGTGGTTTTGCTCACTGTTGGTCTAATTTTATCCTTTGCATTTCCTTCTCCACATTGCATAGTTCATTGTCTTTACACTTAACAAAAAACCTACCCATAACTATCCCTGCTTCCCTTAAGAACCTTTATACACTGACAAGCCTGTAGCTGAAATGGAGCACATTTTCACATTTTTTGTTTTCCTCTTTTCTAAATTGCTTTGCTCCAGCCTCTTAAATCACTTTTATTGCTGCTTTCTAAACTCCCTCCAAGCTGTTAAGAACATTTTAGCAGTGAGGTGCCCAGAAGCCTGCCCAGTCATCCTGATGGAGCTGCACTAGCCTTCTTTTTCCTTGCTGTCCTGTCACACTGCAAATTCCCCTCTTGTATGCTTTTCAGCTAACTCCTTCTCTCTCAGCTTTGCTCCTTCACAGATTTCTCTCCTTCCCCAGAACATCTGGGGTTTGAAAATCTTTCCACTCAAGGTGCTGACCTGTTATTTTCCTGGCTGGGAGGTCTAACAGCCCTCAGGTGGACTTCAGTGTGTTTGAAGCCAGGCTCTGCAGCCCTGGCATGTGGTGACAGGAGGACCAAGGTGCCTCTTCTGCTGCTGGAGCAGCTGGAGGAGCATGGGAACAGGCTTGTGGTCCACCAGCTTGTGTCCTGTGCACATCGTGAGCTTGGGGTTTCCCTGCCACAGCTGCTCACTGAATTCTAGGATCAGCAGAAATAGCTGCACCAACGTGCCTTTGAGATGGAGGTTTAGGCTGGGATGGCCTCAGGAGGTCTCCACTCCAATCTCGTAGCTCTGGCTCCAGGCTGGATCAGCTGTGAAGTCAGAGCAGAATGCTCCAGGCTTTATCCCATCAGGTGTTTAAAGCCTCCAAGGATAGAGCCTGTGCAACCACACAGCCTGTTCCTCTGCTTGCTGTCCTCAGAGTGCAGAAGTTTCTCCTTTTATCCGGATTAAAGCTCTCCTTTTTTATTTTATTTCAGTTTTCCTGTATTAAATGATACAGAACTTTGCCACAAATACAGAAATACTATGAAGAGCAGCTTGCTTTTCCTTTGCTCTTGAAAGAAATGCAGCTCTCTCTTTTCCTCTCATTTCTGGGGTGTGCATAGGAAGTGGAGTCTGCTTTTGTTTTTTTCAGAAGCACATCTGTGTCTCAACGAGTTGTACCTGGAGATTTTCTCCATGCAAACCAAAGCATCGAGAATAATTAACAGTGGGAAATTATGTAACTGCTAAGAGAAACAATGGCTTTTCTGTGGGCCTGCAAGCAAGCTGCCAGGAGCTCTGCCTCTTATTCATCACGTAACATAAAATTAGTTAGAGGATTGTCACAATGCAGAGTTTAAATCAGTAAATTGTGTGCTTTAACTCAGATTTCTGCACTTCCTTTTCCCATTATTGCTTTGTAAATGCTGCTGTATGGTTCAAGCTCTTGGACCTGTAGCTTTGTTCTCGGATCTTACCTGGTGCAGTGGAAATCAGATACCCTGCAGCTCTCAGCAGGGAAATGAATAAAAGGAATAAGCAGAAGAGTCCGGTTGCTAAATCCTGCTTACTGCTTACTTGCCATCAAGGGCATAGAGCAGTGTAAGTAACTGTAGCATACCTACACTACCCAGTGTCACCAGCTGGCCATCAGGTGACTCCAGGAAAAACACCAGGCTATTTCTGACACACGGGGGGCATGGCAAACAGCGTGGTCAGAGCAGCTGGGCTGGACAGGAGCCTGAGGATGCTGCCTGGCCCAAGGAGAGCAGTATGAAATCACCTCCTCTATAGGAGAAAGTGTCCTTAGAAAAGCATTTCAGGGTTCTTTACTTCAATTCTGATTCTGCATTTACATACCTGCTTTGGGGCAGTTTCTGTGATTTTGTCTAGTAAACAGGTCCTCCATTTTTTTCATTAAAGGATGCTAATGGATGAATTTTATTCATCCCAGCTGCAAGAGCGATGGTTGGGATAGATCACATCCTTAGAGGAATTTAATAGATAATGAGTCTGGGACAGATCTGGAGCCATGCTAGTGGGTGTGAAAATCTCTCCTCTTTGGCAATGAACTGACACACAAAACCGAAGCATTTATTTCTTGTTTACTGTTCTTCACTGGTGGATGGTCACAAAGTCTTGGCTGACATGGCATGGCAGAGCACTTTACAGTTTGGATTTACCAGCTCAGGTCTTCATTTATCTCTGCACCTCACCATGACCTCCATTCCAAGGAGTCATGTGTTCCAAGCCGGACAGCCCGGCTTGCTCACCTCCCAGACCTCTACAAGGCCAAGGAGGAGCACTCACCTGTCAGCTGCTGGCTCCTCTCTTGTCCTGGAGGGCAAGATCCAGTAGGCTTAATTGGTAGCTTGAGGTACAGTGGTCAAAGCCTGCAGAAGACTTGTCACTGTTCTTCCTTATGCAGGTAGGGACAGATTTCTCTTGTACCCAACAAAAACCACCTCTGATAACACCCATAAACCCCCTACCAGTTCCCTTTGAGTCATACATGAGTTCCCACTCATGGGAGGGCTGAGCTGATGAGGAAACAAAAGCTGTAAGAGCAGTTTGAAAGAGCTGCATTGGTATTTTGGTTGAAACTCAGATCCCTTACAAATACAAAAAAAAATAATCTCTTTTTGCATAAAACCTTAAAAGTAGCATAAAGATTACACTGTCCTTCAGCTGGGCCTGGAGCCTAACTCGAAAGATTCTGGGAGCTTGATCCTGGAGCACTGTAAGGGTTGTACTGTAATGAACACACAGACTGAACTGGTGCCAAGTGATAGCAAATGTCAGCAGGCAATGTGCCAGTGGGGTGTGGGAACTAGACGTGACAGAGTATCTGTGTCTCAGCGAGCCACATGCAGCTCAATCTTTCCATTCACAAAAAAAAACTAAGCAAGGATCTTCTTGTATCTTCAGAGCCTGATTCTCTCTCATAACACCAATAATTCATTCCCTTCCATGCTAGGTGCCCAGAAAGCAGCAAGAAGCCATTGGGGCAGTCCACAATATTGTATGATTGCTCGGAGGAGGAGCTCATGGCCAGCATCGAGCGGGAGTACTGCCGCTGAGCCCAGCTCCTCACCATGAGAATGTCAGGCACGAGCCTGGGAGCCCCGCTGAGCAGAGCTGCTGCTGACACCACGGGACTGCACGGGAGAGGTGGCTGCTGGAGGGGATGGACTGGAGCATGAGGGGCAGCGTGGCTGCTCGGGAAGCACAGAGGAGAAAGCTCACCTGATCCACTCCCAGTGAGAGCAGGAAGATCCTCACCAGCTGCTGATTTCTGGTTGGTGCCACCGGAAGAGGGACCAATTCATCTTAAGAATCAATATTTAGAAGCTCATTTCTAAATGCTATTTTTAAATGAACATGTACTAGAATTAAGTGTCATACTAGAGGGGTTGAAATGTGGTGCTTTGAAGGATGATCTTGCTTTGAACCTAGTAAAAAATTGCAGCAATATCATCTCATCCAGAACTTAAGGGGATGTTGAATGAAATTCATCTTTCTGCCACTTAGAATGTCCCAAATTGCACTTGTGCAAGCCTCAGGTCCAGGTCTGAGTTTGGTACCATCTCTTTCAATCTGCTCCCCAGTATGGGAGATAAGAGGAAAAGGGGATTGAGCCCACTGTCTGGTGCATAGGCAGTGTAATCCCAGAGTTCAAATCCCACCACACTGCCAAATTAGGCTCCTGGGAGCCATCAGGGAACACAGGATTTTTATGATCCCTTTGGGGCAGGGTCCCAGCATAGGTGTCCTACCTGGGCATGGATCCATCCCAGTGATGGGAGTGAAAGCAGGAGGCACATCCCCATTTCAGTCATCCTCCTCAACAGGTATTTGCCTGCTCATGTAGAGCAGCTGTTTGGGATCAGTTTTCAGAATTGCTACTCCTGGCCCTTCCCTAATATTTCTTGTCCTACAAGAAAAATCACTGCATTTTACCATTAGCTGACTGCAAAGTAAACCAGAAATTTCTCTCTCCTAAGGAAATAGTATTTTCAGTGCTCCTAGACAGGGAAGCCTGGTATTTTGGGTTTCTGCTTTTATTATATCTGCGTGTTAACATATTATGAGTATCTGCTTATTATCAGAAGTAGAAAAATACTTTATTTCTATCTTCTGCTGAAGCATAAAAGGCATCAGATTACATTTTTACTACATGTAAATGCAAGAAAGAACTGCAGGACACTTCTTAAGATGCTGTATTTTAAGTACTTTGTGATTCCTGGGACCTGTGAAACACAAATAAATCCATCTATACTCTGAAGCCCTCAGTGAAGGCATCAAATGTTCTGAAAAAGGCTCTCTGGCTTACATGAAAAATCATGCTGTGGTACCTGCAGAGACTAAGCAGGATGCATCCCTGGGGGATGGCAGGTGGGATGCCTTGAGGGGGGCACTAGATCACACCCCTGGCACACAGACTCACAGCCCAGTTTTCTTCCCTGCAGCTGCCTTCAGCACAGCTGGACACTGGGGAGCCTCCAGGCAGCCCGGGATGGGCAGGGGAAGGGAGCCAAGCTCCCACAAAGCTGTGCATGCTTGGAGGCAGGAGCTCCCAGCACACCAGCTGGGGCATGTCAACAGGACCAGGGATAATGGTTTTAAACTGGAAGAGGCTAAATTTGGGGTGAACATAAGGAAGAAATTGTTCACTGTGGGGGTGTTGAGGCACTGGAACAAGTTGTGATTGCCCCATCCCTGGAAGTGTTCAAAGCCAGGGTGGATGGTGCTCTGAGCAACCTGGTCTAGTGGAAGATGTCCCTGCCCATGGCAGGGGGATGGGACTAGATGATCTTTAAGGACCCTTCCAACCCAGGCTGTTCTATGATTCTGTGATACCTTGGCGGCCCAGAAATAGCTGAGTAGAGAGCAGATGTCCCTGCATTGCTGGGAGAAATTAGGTGGGCCCTCTGGAGCAATGGCTGTCTAACCCTCCTGGAAAAAATCCAGTTTTGAACAATAGAAGTTCTTTCACAGGAACAGTCATTTTTAGACCTATTAATGTCACTGTTCTGTGGCAAGAATACAGTTTCTCTGCAGTTTATCAAGAGCCCACTCACCACATCTCCCAGAGCTTGTGTTAGTTTTCAGCAGCTCTCAAAGACCTACTGGGAGGAACAGAATCTGCCTGTGGAGAGCTGAAAAAACACGGTGACCCCAGCACCACAGGGGACCACAGTGCTCTATATTCTTTTGTAATCACAATAGTGGTTTAGATTTTCTTTGAACTTGGATTTCATTCTTTCAACTAAGACCTTCCTTCTGTCAAGGTCCCCAGAGTCTCTGGCACATGTGGGGAGATATTTCACTGAGCTCAGTCACAGCTCCTCCTTTGTGAGCACAGGGCCATGGATTGCTGCTTTTTTGGATGCCCTCCAATGACACAGCAAACAGGAAAGCCACGCTGCTGTCAGACCATGCTGTGACAGGAGCAGGCAGGGACCAGGGCTCTGCCTCCCCTAGGTCACTCTGCACGTGCCCTGCCTGCCCTTACAGAGCTGCTCTCTCTGAGGCTGCATTTGGTGACTGGCCCAGGTAACAGCTCTACAACCCATTTCAGACTCTCCTACAGGAGAGCCCAAGTATTCACAAGTACAGAAATCGACTAATTAAAAAGAACACCTAAGCAGAACATACTGATAGACTGCAAAAAAAAACTCTCTACTGAACACAGCAAAGCACTGAGCTGCTTTATAAAATGAGTTTCTAAAATAAGCAAGAGACAAGCACATTTCTGTGGCTGGAACAAAGGTGCAGTGGGTTTCCCAGATAACCTTTTCAGTACCACCAACAGAAAAGGAGGAGCTGCAGAAACACAGGAAGGTCCAAAAAGGAGTGATGCAGCTGGGACAGTCACTGCACCAGGGAAAAGGTGCAAGAAAGAAGTTTGGGGATACAAGGAGGGATCTCAAACTGTGGTATGGTCTTGTTGCAGGCTTTCTCTGTGCCATAAAATGATGTGTGCTCAGCACTGAGCTCAGACCACAGAGCCAGCCAGCACAGACAGCTCACAGCCACCTGTCTTCTCAAACATGCAGGACACGATGGTGGTACCCAGCCAGGTTCCCAGTCTACCCAAGAGCTGATGGGGACTGTGCCCCTCCCTCTGTGTCAATCCTGCACCCAGCAGCACGCCCAGAAGGGACAGTGGCAGTGGGGCTGGTGCCTAGGAAGCCACAACTAGAGTTTAATTACCTGGTGTCAGTTAACTCTGCTTTTGGCCCATCCTTTGCTCACAGAAAACAGGACGCTAGATCATTTGCAGGTAAATAATAGTATGGAAGCAGTAGTTGTGCCCACGACAGATTTCAAGAGAAAGTTCTTGAATTAATGGGTTTTTCAAAAAAAAGGACAATTGTACTATAGAGATCACTTTGCCCCATCTCAGAGAGTGAATGCTGATATCCAACCAGCTGAATTATTGGAAAGTTAGTTTTCTTTTCATGGTATTTCTCTATAACCGCCATCAAATCACAACTGCTTGAAGGACAAGAAATTATTCAGCTTGCCAGTACTTCCTGCCCCTAAAACAGTTTGTTGGAATTAGGCAGGTTTCTGGAGTCTCTTAGTCATCATTTTGGAAACTACCCCCCTATTCAATACCCACAGCATAAGACAGGATAGCTGACAATGGCTTTTGAGCTGACACTATTAATCTCCATTAATAAGCCAGCAAAAGGCTATTATTTTTAACCAAATCACTACATTATTCATCTAACAAAGACAAATGCTACATGCTTCATTTTGCACTAGTCCCAAAGGAGCAAGAGAGCCTTGCTGAAACAGAGCCTCTGCCCCAGCAAGGGGGGCACAGGCCTGGAGCTGTGCCACAGGTACCTCAGGGAGCTGCCCACCACATTTGCCAGCTGCCTGGCACAGACCACATCCACAGCAGGGCTCCCCCTCACCTCACTCTGGACACAGGACATGGCAATTATTTGCACAGGGTGAAGAGAATTTATCTGGGCAGTGATAACCCACAGAGAAGAAGTCACTCTAAACTCAAGAGATGCTACAAGAGAAACAATTAAACCCAAGGTATTCTTCCCATCTGGGACAAACTCTCCCAGGAAAGGGTATGCTCCAGCTTCCTCAAGTTTTCTGCATGTTTTAAGATGTGTCCATTGCCTTCTACACACATCAGCACGTAAGTCATCAATTTTCTTCTACACCTGAGGACTGAAGGAGAAGAGGAGGAAGGCTGCATTTGACAGAGGATCACAGGACAGTCTGGACTGTGAGATGTGGCTGAGGCTTTGCAGCTTCCTCCTGGAGTGTCTCACCATTTCCTCAGCCTGCAGGTTGCTGGGTTTTGAGTCATGATTTACTCTTGCTGCAGACATGGAAGCAATTTGCCTTCTCACAGCCAGAGCCTGTCTGCCTCAAGCTGCCTTGCTGGGCATGAATGGAAGGTAAACAGGCAGATGGGCTCACAGGTTAAACTTCAAAACCAGTCTGAAGATTTATCCCTGCAGATGAACTCAAGCTAGAGGCAACCCTGGGGCAGGACTCGGCTCATGAGATGACAGATGAAGGATGTTGAGTACAGCTTTCACAGCTGGAAAGGAAAGATTAGCCAGAGCTGTGGCCTCAGCTGGAGGAGCACACCAAGCGTGCAACCACCCTGCAGCACAGGCCACCTCTGCCACCTCTGCAGCATCAGAATGGATTCACTCTTCCAGTGCCCAGACCAGGAGGATCAATGCTCATTGGTTTGCAAGACAGCTCGAGCTGCTGCTCAGCCCAGGGTTTGGCTGTACAACCACATGGGGGTCTAAGCAAAAGCAGAAAGATGAGCACAGACTGAAATCCATTGCCATGTTTCACATAAACAAAGCCAGGGAAACAAAATAAAAATAAGCCAGGGAAAAAAAAAAAAAAACAGCAAACCCCCCCCCCCCCAAACAAGTAGTCTTAGGGATATAATTGGATGCTCAGAAAAATCTTCCTTGAAAAATAGTAGGGACAGGTAAGACATCTTCCCCTGGGAGACAAAAGCATTGTGGCAAACTGCAGAGCCCAGGGGCTGAAGTTTGTGCTGTTCTGCCAGAGCACTAAACCTGCACCTCAGCTTTCCCTTCCAGTTGTTCTCCTGAGGGGGAAGCAGAACCATCCATGAGATCTCTTTTCTCCTTCCTCACACTTGCAAGAACAATGTGCTCTCCTGTGGACAAAGCCTTGAGTCACCGCTCCCTGAGAGCTGAGCAGCTGAGGCTGCACAGACTGAGCCACCTTGCAGAAAAAGGCTGTGACAAAAAGCTGGAATCATTACACCTTCTCCCTTTCTGCTGGAAATAAACATTTCTGCAGCTCAGGAACTGGTCAGAGGGAAACAGCATAAGAATGTAGGTAGTTGCTGCTGCTGTCACCATCACTGGACACCTCCTTGCCAGCTGAGACTGGGAGATATCACCCAGCCTGCCAGAGCCATGTCCCCACCAGAGCAAGAACTGGGGCTAGCACAGCCACCTTTTGAGTTAAATGATTGTCTCTGCCTTATTTGCAGCACTCACTCCATGCACAGCTTGTGACACTAACAGAGCAGCACCCAGCACATCCCTTCCAGCTGCTGGAGGCCGGGCTGGAAGTGGTGTGGAGCTGGGAACTCTTGTTCCCAGAGAGCACAGAGAAGTCCCAAGGCCTGGTGGGGGTGTGCACCTTCTACCAAAAGCATGAGATGAGTGGCGTAAAATCATAAATGAGTGAGCACTGGTCAATTTACAACAGGATCCAAAAGATCCTGCCTTTACAGCTAAGTGAATTATCAAGCCCCAAAGTCTTCCACTGGCCTAGACACACAACCTAATCCTGAAGGATTTACATGGTTCTGGAATGGACGCCTATGAAACCTGAACATCCTTTTTTTTTTTTTTTTTTATGACTTAAAACCAGTCACATTACATACATTTTATTTAATAAAAGTTAAAAACATGTACAAAAATGCAGTTCCATTTCCGTAAAATATAGGCTCAAAATAAAAAGACTGAACAGTAGAGTTCAGGCAGTAAAGTGCAAAGACAGCAGCTATGCCAGTCATGCTTAATCCATAAATAACCCTTACACAGCAGGAAGGAACAGCCAGAGCAGACACAGCCACACCGCGGCACAGCTATTCACACACATCCACAGGAGAACGATCTACACATCCCAGAACGGGCTGCCAGGAATTGCAGGCCAGCTACACCCAAACAAGGAGGGAGCAGATGCTTTTCCACATCGTGACACACATACATGACACACTTTTAGAAGTCTGTATTCTCCAAG